GGCATTACGTGGAATGTACTTAGATTTAGACATGTTGCAGTGCCACCGTGTCAAATGATATATTTGGGTTGTGCTTTTCTCATTCTTGTCGATGTATCAGTCCATCAACACATGCCAGTTGGGGTGGCAGAGAAGTGTCAGTGGTGACAAGTATCAAGTCTTCCGCCGCACTGTTGCTTAAGGCTCCGGACATCCAGACAGAATCGACTGTGCGGCCTCTGGACTAGTACCATGGAAAAGAAGCCACCTCGCAACGCATCAGTTTCTCTTCAGGCGAACTCCAAAAGTGCTACGTAATTGTATGAATACGGTGGCCAAAGCATGCTGAAGCTAGACTCTATATGATGACAATGCAGCTTGAGAACATCACCAGCTATTCTTGGCCCCAGTACTCATTGAGGTGTTTTCGCATCCCTTGGCGTGTGTACAGGGCTGCTGCCTCCATTGACACGAAAGCATGGCTGCGCAAAGAAGCATGGAACACATGCTTTCAAAATATTGACGTCTGGAAGCGTGTGGCTGGCCATGTCCGTTTGCCTGGCTGGTCAGCACAGGTCGCTGCAAGAACTTTGTCTCCTTGCTGCAGGCACCGGCAATCCTTGCTATGCGCCCATCTACAAGTCTTAACAAGTCCTAACAAGTCTTAAAGACTACCTCAAAAGATCCGCAACGGTTCCAAGAGCCCTGCTGATGACGTCGAAAATAGTAGCGTTTCCTAAGCCCAGTGCTCAGTTTGCCGTATTGATCTATTCAGAGAGGCCAAGCTCAGCTGAAAGCCAATCTTTGAGGTTTTCGCATCGTTTGGCCTGAAGACCGCTCTGTTGTCTTCATTTTTGTCCAAACAAAGGAGGTCCAAGCTGAGTTCCTATATGATTTGATCTTTTTTTGTATCTTTGCCTTCCCTGCCTTGACAAGTTCGAAGCCCAAAGGCACCTTATCAACTCCTGTCTTTTTGCGGTCACGCGTCCAGACCTTCTTGTAGCTCCTCAAAGCTCAAATGATAGCCAAAGAAAACGCAGTGACACACAACAAAAGAAAGGACAACAACATGTGATTATATAATTGTACAATGACATCGAGTAGATCAATGCACATAGTCAGTGCATTGTTCAGTGTCGTCCATTGCTGGGGAAAGGTGCATGATGCGCATCGCCCACATCACATGGACTTGGGTGTATCATGCGAGAAGGTAAAGAGTGGCTACCATAAAGGGCATCTCCCAAATGCAGAATCCGCCCATCCCCATCTGTTCAGCACGATGCGTGGGATAGATTTATCATACATTGAATTTCATTGATGCATTTCTTCAACTCTTTTTGCACTACTGTAAGCGTTTCAGCTGTGTGGTTCTTTTCGAATCTTTTCGACATGTTATTGAAACTGTTGCAATCTTTTGGCCTATTTGGATTCTCCTGATTCAATCTGCATATCAAACCGCCACGGGTTGACCAAGGCATTGCCAAGGTTCCACCCTCCCACGAGCGACAGCCTTTCCAACAAACACTTGTATGTGAAGAATCATGCAGCTGAATTAGCTGTATTGGAGATTGGATACAATCAAACATTGTGGGGAGCATTGCATGCCCAGGAGGCGTTGAATTCTGTGCCTGCCGATTTCGCACCACCTCACCTCACCTAAACCTTGCAGCCTGGAGCCTCAACACTTTGACCTCGAGGATATTTGGAGCATTACCAGGCTTGTGTTGACATGCGAGGAATTCCAACGAAGCCGAAGTTGTGCTTCTGAGGATCGACTTGAGTTGAAAGCATTGGGTGCTTGGAGTGTGATGCATTGCCAATGCCGCATTGGCCGAGAAAGAATTGTGTCTTGCATTCCTTGCACCCAGGACATTCATGTGTCGGATTGCTACCCAAAAACCAGTGAACACAAGTGTTCAGTAGGTGTAAGTCGGTGTATATCAACTTCTAAAAAGCACAGGGATATCCACAGATTAGAGTGCGTAGGACATGCTAATGTAAGGAGAACGACAACATTGAACATGTCCTTTCAACTACAGTGTCCTTTTTGGGGTACATCCTGTTGCATCCTGCTTTGGAGTGGGGACTCATAAGGCGGTCATGGCCATAATATGATGGTATTCTCGAATTGTATCCACACGCATCGAGTGTGCCGCCATGCTGCTATGCTGTCATGCTGCGTAATGGAGATCCGTTGACACAAACCCTCTGCTTGCCAGGTGTGGAAACTTTCCTTCTTGAAGTGGTCGCCTATATTGGGGCCAACTGTAGTTTGTTTGAACACTGCCATGCCAAGAATTGCCAAAATCAGTTTCCTTCATGTTGCTTCTGTCTCCGCAGCATGCCAAGAGGAGTTGAGGCGTCTTTGTTACAGTAGATTTGCTTGCGCCGAACATGGACCGGCACTCACAAGCTCCCTATGTTTAAAGTTTAAAGAGTCCTCGGCTTAAGTCCTCGAGTGTCGAACCGAAAGCTCAGCAACTCAGCGACATCCTACTCGTGCAAGATTTGTTGTGTGGCCTCTAGAGCCTGTCTCTCCTAAGATTCTTTGAGTGCTGCTGGACTACATTATCGTATATTATATGGAGGAGATTAGGAGATTGGTACCACAGAGATTCATCGGAACTTAAGTATCGCTCAAGAAAGATGAAGGGTTTAGTTTTGGCAAACACCATGGTTGTGTCCTACAAAGCATACATCAACAACCCTCTGCTAATCTCTGTTCGGCTTGTGCCCCAAGGCCCAAACTTCTGCAACAGTTGGTCGAGTTCCATGAAATGGTCTGTGTCGGTGATGTCAAACTGCCTTCAGTTTGCAAAAATGAGCACAAGCCGATGTGGGAAAGTCAGAAAATATAAGGAACAGAAGCAAATGCTTCCCTCAATGAAACAGCATGCTTGTATTGAGAGTTTGTAGGCCGCCAGGCTTGACATAGTCTGGACGGTCTGTGGGCCCAGTCCTCACAAAGTCTTGAAATGAAGACTCCAGGCTAAATGAACCATTGAACTTGAAGGTTTTGTTTAAAAGAAAGACTCAAGCTCAAGATCGTCCAGAGTGGAGGAAACGACACAGCATCCTCGCCGCCACTGAGACCTTTCCGATCCCCAATGGTCACACTGGCAAAGACTTCCCCTATGGTAAGCAGTCCTTGCTTGTGTTGCTGTCAGCTGAAAGGACTTTTTATGAACTTATTACAGCTGAACTTAATGATTCCCGCACCCAGAGCTGGTTTGACAAAGCCCCTCGAATGCCTTGCCTAGCTTCAAATCAACATGATTGACCTGCAACGCGTCTTGGCTTGTGCTGCGAATTCAGGATACTTGGAATATCAAATGCGTCATCCTACCTGACATGTCCCGCCTCTGCCCACTCCACAAATTCTGGCCAGTTCACTTGTCCGTTCCCATCCTGCACTGTGGGTCGTTAAGTGAGTCAGGAGTAAGGACATGCTTCCTGCACCCTGCGTAGTCAGGCTATCTAACTACTTGCTTACTCGTTTGTCTGCAAGCTGCTCCAGCAGCTTTACTCTCATTTTTTGCCTGTCGGAGTCACGTATGACGCATGCGAATGTGCTCCTGGTCCAAGCTTTTCCAAACCTCAAAAAAATCACGAACTGAATCATGAAAGCAAGAAAGCAAGCAGGCAAACCAGCAAGCAAGCAAGCGAGCAAGCAAGCAAGCAAGAACACAGTTCGATGCACTGTGCATCACCACACTTCTCAATGCTCACATCCTGAGATGCCAGCCTCTTCTTTCGACCCCTTGAGATTGGCAAGTGCAAGCGCAACCTACGTGCAAACCAGAAGTTGAGACGAAACAGTTTGCATGGTTTATCATGTGGTTGCGTGAAAGCAGAATCCTCAACAGCTCCCTTCATCTCTCAATATCGCATCTTCTTTCTGGGGCAAAAGCTTCGGCAAATTTGTCATGATCTGTAATGTAGCCAGTACCCTTTGGGTCCAGGTACACGAAGGCCTGAAAAATAGAAAAAACAAGCGTTTGAAGGGTGCCAATGGAAGGAAAACATTGTAGGACTCGCAAGCTTGAAATGCCTCATGGAGGGTAGCCCACTTGGACGCCTGACACAAATTAGATCTTCGTTCCGCTTCATGCAACCATGCTAGCACATACTGGCAACTGATAGATAAGGTCTGTATGTGCGCGAATGGGTCAGTTTCTCTGCCTCTTTGGGTTGTTCTAGCTCCGGTAAATCAACATAGATCCTGGCAGAATTACGTGAACAAGCAAGCAAATTCAAGAATGAGCTCCTTCATGTCTGTGTCTCACACAACAATGCTGGCATGGCAGATCGCCCGCAGAATATCCCTCAGGTACTTCTGCCTTGGGACCAAGCGGCTCCCTTGGTTCTGAGCAGCTGACATCTCTGTCACCCAGCCTGAATCCAGCGCCCATCTGGTGTTTGAAACTTTAGCTGACTGCCGCCAATAGCCCCTTCAGGAACCATCACCTGGCAGAAGGCCCTTACAGTGGATACACATGAACTCATCATAGAAGCATTGCGTAGTGTACATGTACCAAGCGGTTCCGCCTGGACCTTTCCGACCTCGCAGAGATTTGAGACTTGTTAGCAGGGCGATGTTGTCAGGAAAAGAGTCTTAATCATTCAAGTCTTGTGCGATTAAACTTGGGCGCTGCACCGTCAGCTCGCCATCCCTCAGTGCAGCATTCAAGTTCATGCAGCTTGTCAACTTAGCCACCGGTTCAATCTGTCTGCTTTGGGCTGAAGGAATCTGCTCACTGGGCTCCTCGCAGCTCCGGTTTTGAATCGCAAGCGCCCATGGCTATCCGCAAGCTATCTCAATCTATATAACAGGATCTTCCGTGTTGCGATTCTGATTTGGGCCAAGCAGCCAAAGCCAGGAAATCTAGCCTGTTATGTTGCCATGAAGTGCCAAACTGTGGGTTAGATCAATGGTGATCAGCATATATCAGAATCAATGCTATCAATACTATTGTCCCAGCTTCAGGATGCTTCATGTGGATCGCTTCACCGAGCTCCCCCACCCCAAAGGCAGCTAAGTCTCGGTGTCTCGGCCTAAGATCCGATCCGTTGTCACCCAGAGGTCTTCTCCGAAGCAACCAAAAGACACCACGTGACACCCAAGAAGGGGAGCCTGGCAAAACTGGCACTACCACCACGTCACTAAAGCTTCACCCCACAACCACAACCAACTGCACCTGCTGTAAGGTGTTTCTGAGCAAGTTCCAACACACCAACAGGATGCAAGTACAAGATCGTTGCACGCAAAGATCAGTCTTTGCTGCAAAGAGCTTGACAAAGTAGAACACAGTTTCAAGCCCAAATGCAACCCCAGCGGCAAGCTTTTTGGCGCACCAAGCTGTTGCACATGGTCCTGCTTGTAATACAAAGCACGTTTGAACAATGAAACTGTTTGCCTATACGCAAGGTATTCGCTGTATCACCAAGTCATCTCGGCTTTATTTTACCACAATTGATGGCGCTGCGGAGCTGAGGCATAGCTTGCAGCTTTCCGCCTCAAATCTGACACAGGAACAAGGAAGTTCTGTGTGAACGGTTGTCTCATGCCGCCAAGGATCGTCAGCGCATGTAAGGGTCCTGAAAGGATAACGCTTAACATTCAAGATATTCAAGGATGATCGATCTGATCGTCTCATCTCATCTGACATAAAGTGCTGTCCTCCTGATTTCTCCCTCTCCCTCTCCCTGTCTCTCTGTCTCTCTATCTCTCTCTCTCCCTCTTTTTTTCTGCCTCTTTCAATCTTTCTCAATGGGTATCTTTTCTTCTATCATTGTACAGAGCCTTTGCTTCATTTGTATGTACAAAAGCATCTGATCTCTCCTAGGCCCCATGTGTAGTGCTGCTGTGCCGGCTGTGCCCAGTGTCGAAGAGCTCTGTCATCTCGCAGGCGAGCACAGGCTGCGCAGGCATCAAGGCAAGCGCGACCTCATAAGAAACCAAGAAGCAAACCCAAAAGGACACAACGAATCCAACGAAGCAACTAAACAGTTCTGAAGGGAGTCTATTAGTCTACCCGAGTCTACCCATAAGCATCGGAACATATCGGAACTATTTATATATTTTGGAATATTTGCTATGTTGCTTGTGGGATGGCCTCCCAACTGGCACTATGCGCAAGCGGTTCTACATGGGCGTTCAAGAGTATGTACTTCAGGCCTCTCAATGCTTGCAGTTGCACGTCTTCGTCATCGTAGAGCTGAAGAATGTCTTCAACCAACCTGAAAAGTTTGATCTTTGAAAGTAGGATCATGTTACCATGTGTGTTTGACAAACACAAAGCCAAAACCTCGCAGCAACTTACATCGGAGTTCCATCCAGACAAAACAATGCATGCAGGTAGCTGAAGGCACTCTTGCGGTGAGGCTTTGTCGATCTCTCGATCAAATTTTCTCATGTCAATCCTGGAAAAAAGAGGTAGAACATGCAAGCCAGGTCAGTTCCTGCAATTTGAGGTTCTATGTCAACGCTCGATATATATATATATAATATAATAATGTATGCATGACATGATACCGTGGCTGCACACCCTGAAAACAAGCAGGCGGAATGCACGCCCATATTAGACTCTGAGAGTTGAAGTCAACTTTCCCACCAGGGTAGATTGAGCCCAATACAAGGTGATGGTTGATCGTTGATCCAAACAATTTCCTTTAAGGGAAACACATATATACATCATCAATGGCAAAGCGGGTTGTTGTTTTTTTGAAAACCACGTGGAAATCGACAAAATGCCATCTCTCTAGGCTGCACTACATGCAATGCAACTACACGATACACGCCTCGAGCGCTTTGTTTAGTGAGGGTTTTCCCTAGCAACTCTCTGCAATCATATGAACTTGAAAAGGATGCCAGGCCCTAGTTGAGCAGCCAAGAGAACTGCCGACGGACATCCATTCTAGTTTTTCTATACTCTCATAATACAGAAAATATTGAAGGACTCTCATCCAGAAAAAACACTGCTCAGCTGATTACAACTGTGTCACTGGCCAAAGACTGAGAAGAACCAACAAGTAGACATAGACATAATAGACACAACGTTGAGAACAAACAAACGAAGAACGAACCATATTCAGGAAGTTGATCAATGCAGTTGTCGTGTCTTCCAAGTCTTTGCAACACAGACACACATACGTATGTGTAAACATACATCTTTGCCAATGTCGTGCGTAGTGCAAGAGCAAAGGATTTGCACGGCCATCCTGCCATCCTTTTTGGATGCAAGTGCGCTTGGTCATGGTGTATGTATTGAAAACTAAGATGTCGGACGTATACATGTTAGCTACACACGCACAAATGTCATTGTCCCCCCACCCACACACCCACCAACCTACCCACCCACCCAGCCCGCGTGAGCATGTCAATGTTACAGTGTATGCAGCAACATTAAATAACACGTGTCAAATGGTATAGTGCGTGTAGCAACATCATGTCCAGTGTCATTGTGCGTGTAGCAAACGTCATGAACACTCGTCGTATGTATGTAGCGGCATCATTGTATGTACGTGGTCGAATGTCATAGTGTATGTAGCAGCATCATTAACGTGCGTCGTAAGTCTTGGTGTATGCAGCAGCATCATGAACACGCATCACGTGTGACTTGATAATGGACACGACTACACGTACGGTTTCTCATCCGTTGGCATATGCGTGTATATATATATAAAGACAACAAGTGTGTGTGTGTGTGTGTGCGTGTCGCCCTTGGAGTGAGAGGAAGCTTTTGGCTTTTGATGCTGCTGCATACACCATGAACATACGACACGTGGCTATGATGCTGCTACATACACCATGACATTCGACGCGTGTTCATGATGCTGCTACATACACCCTGACACACGACACGAGTTAATGCTGCTGCTACATACACCACGACATACGACGCATGTTCAGGATGCTGCTACATACACTGTGACATTCGACGCGGGTTCATGATGTTTGCTACACGCACAATGACACTCGACATGATGTTGCTACGCGCACTATACCCTTTGACACGCGTTCATAATGTTGCTGCGTACACTGTAACATTGACACGCTCAAGCAGGGTGGGTGGGCGGGGGGGTGGGGGGACAATGACATTCGTGTGTGTGTGTGGCTAAAGTGCGTACGTCCGACACCTCTTTTTTCGATACATACACCGTGACCAAGTGCACTTGCATCCAAAAAGGATGGGCGCGCCAATCCTTTGCCCTTGCACTATGCACGACAATGGCAAAGATGTATGTTTACACATACGTATGTGTGTCTGTGTTGCAAAGACTTGGAAGACACAACAATTGCATTGATAAACTTCCTTCGTTCTTCGTTTGTTTTGTGATGCAGCCCTGTTCGTCGCAGCCAATCGCATCCATGAGGTTTTCTGCCTGGTGTAACAGAAAATCCGCCCGCACCGAAGGTGCCGAGGCGTTTTTATAGGGCACGCGCTATACGTAAGCTAGCATATGCAAGCCAATAGCTTTAGCTAGGGGGGGCATTTTCGCTCTAGAATCCTGTGTTTTTCACGTTTTTGGAACCGGCTTAAAGTGCTGGAAGATGAATTCGTGCTATTTTGAAGCCCCTGGTGACGCAAGAAATGCCATTTTCTTCCTTTGCATGATTTGAATCATCTGCGCGGTAAAGTGAAATTGGACTGAGGCCGGACATTTGGCTGAACAGGCTCCCCTAACGTGGCTCAACATAGCTTCCATGTTGCCTAACATAGCCCTAGAAGTCACTATCTAACGGACGTGTCTGCGAGATAGGGACTTGAACGCAAAACATGGCACAACGAGGGCTCAAAGTAAAGAGATTGCCTAACATAGCCCTAGAAGTCACTATCTAAAGGACGTGTCTACGAGATAGGGGCTTGAACGTCGTACGAGGGCTCAAAAGGGACTGGAATAAAGCCCCCCCCCCAACGTGACCGAACATGGCTTCCATATTGCCTAACATAGCTTTAGAAGTCACTATCTAAAGGACGTGTCCGCGAGATAGGGACTTGAATGTCCGGATATTTGGCTCCACAGGAGCAGAGATAAGCAGAGATCAGGTCCAGGAACGGTAACATTTTCACGTGGCTCAACATAGCTTCCATATTGCCTAACATAGCCCTAGAAGTCACGCGAGATAGGGACGGGGGGGTGTGACTGGGGCTATGTTCAATGGAAGTACCTACCTTGACCCGTTCCTGGAGCATGACTGCAGTCTTTGAGCCCTCCCATGTGGTGGCGGGTGGTTACCGTCGCGAAGCGACGTGAATATCTACCCGTTACTCTAGGGCGTTCACACACACTTTTTGTCTGTATTTGTCTGTATATGCATACGCCAACGGATGGGAAACCGTACGTGTAGTCGCGTCCGTTTTATCAAGTCACACGCGACGCGCGTTCAGATGTAGTAATTCTTCCCGGGTACTGTGATGTATGTGCTCATTTTGCGATTGTGATTGTTGAGAATCATGTCCTCTTCTAGACTTCAGGCTGGTTAGGTGGAGACGGGTCCGCAAACTTTGCACGCGCCGTCGCTCGGTCTTCGAGCTTGGAGCAATTGAAGTCTTTGAAACTGTTGGGGAGCCTTGGCGCCTTGCTTGAAGCTTTTTCGCAGCCTTTCCTACGGTTTTATAGCTGGAGGCCTTGAATTTACAGAGGTTTCGTCTGGGCCTGAATTTGCCCTCGGGCCTTGGGTCTAAACGCTTCATGGCCACAGCCTGTTGCGCCACTTACACATATAATACGCGCGTTTTTCGAGGCGTGAGCGCGCGGGCTGTATGCGCGCAACTCTGTATAGTGCGTGTGTCTGGGTGTCTCTGGCAGCTTCTAACCATGTCCAATCTCACCTAGATTTGCACAAGTCTTACGTAGTCCTTCGCTGGTCGCTGACTTCGTTGGGCTCAATACACGCTGGGCAGCAGCAGTCAAAGTGATATTTCACACCTGGAAAACCAATAAAGTAAAACATGCGTAAGTCCAGTGCAACGCATCCATGCAAGTTGAAAACGGCTTTGGAACTTGGACGATCAGATGTTTTGCAGTTCTATGCACCGCGGCATACATTCGTAGACCCGGAACATCTCACTACAGTCCCTACAAATACTATCATTTTCTTGGAAAAGCGAGCAACAATGTCATTTTTGGTTCACGCCCCTGCATTCTGAATGTTGGACGTAGCTCAAGCTGCCGCTGCTGCCGGCTCTGACGCAAGTCAATGTAGTCAATACACAGTTCTTCGCCTACAGAATTCGCAGGACTCGACTAAAAACACACAAAATACAGCTTGCGATTTAACTCTTCAATTGGCAAAGCCTTCTTGTACTGCAGTGCACGTGAGGATTCTCATCAGACTGCCCTCGCTATCCCAAGCCTGTTGACCTTGCAAAGCCAGCGCAAAGTTCTGGACTCATGACGTGGGGGGTCCAACATTTGGCACTCTACAAGCAATTGTTGCGAGTGCATTTCGGGCCTCAAGATTGCTAAACTTTCAAGCCTAGTGCCCAGTGTCATGCAGTTGCACCACCACACTTATTCCCCACATCTTAGTGTGGGGTTCTTCTTTTCTAAGTCTCACTCCGCCTCCTCCCGGCGCCTCCTCCCGCCCCTCCGCTCCTCCGCTCCTCCCACACACCACTCATCTCACACACCACTCAGCACACACCACTCATCTTACACTCATCACACACCACTCACCACGCACTACTCATCTCACACCACTCATCACACACACCACTCATCTCACACCACTCATCACACACACCACTCATCTCACACCACTCATCACACACCACTCATCACACACCACTCACCTGACACCACTCACCTGACACCACTGATCTGACACCACTGACGCCGGCGACGCTGTTCCATTGTAAATCTCAGTAGATCTGGCTCCGTTAGAGGGTCTGGTGGTTGCTTGGTCGGCT